GTTCAAAAAAGTAACAGGTGTTTCTATCTTGAGAAGAGAACTAAGTAGACTAGGAGCCAGGGGAAGAAAAGTAATTTATATTTTGCTTTTGCCTGTTGACTCTTCAAACATCCATGTATTCGTTTCTCTAATAATAAGAGTTCATTACTGAATGAACACTTTTATATTTTCTTAGTTACCACACGGCAAATGAAAAGAAAATAGACCTAAAATTCAGAAGTTCCTTATGAAACTTACAACTGGAAATTTGTATAGATAGGAAGACAGGGCATGTCCTTCATATAATCAAGGTAGGAAATATGCTTTTCATATTTGTTTTTTAATTCATTTCACCTTTGCTTTCTAATCTCATGTCCAAATGCTTGCAATTCCACACAATGTTTTAATTATGAATCACCATCTGTCCACATAGTTAAGTTTGGGAGCAGAGTTATCTGAATAACTATACATACCTCTTCCCTTTCCTATTACATAAAGCAGCAATTAACCCACCACCCTAATCCTAACTCATGCCAGTCATGTGCACCCATTATGGATTTGGGTAAAAATACCATCAGCAATGATGGCCACAGGCATTAAAGTTTAAATTCTCAAACTTAATTCTACTTTTTGAAGCATCTAAAAGATCACCCTAATAATACAAAAGAGCTAATTAAGGTATTCATACAGAAAGAAAATAAGCGGTGAGTTATGCAAATGACACACCTTAGTGATACCATTAATGGAAATATTTTTATGAAATGCATAGAGAATTAGCTTTGTATGGCCTGAAATATTTGTATTCTAAAAGATTTTAAAAATACAATATAAATAAATGCTTTCAGGTTTTGCTATCAGTGAACCAGAAAATAAGATTGTATTTCCGATTCATTTTGTGCATTATTTGTATGGCTGATTGAGGCTTGTGCATATTAAAATGTTCAATAGGTAAATATTTTATCTTTGTATTTTATAAATAAATGACCCAATGTTTGGTTTTAATTTGAATTTTTTAACTAGGGACTTAAGTTTATTCATAGTGAAATATTATGAAATACAAAGCTCGGCCACAGTGAATTATATGTAAGTCTATATTTTTAAACTACTTTCTGACTTGAAATTGTATTGATCCTAGAAAACATGAGGCATTATCTTGAAGTTAATTTCAGTTTTAAATGAGTCTGTGTCTGTGTGGAGGGGATGGGGAAATAGATTTTAAGAAGATGTGGGAAATGGCAAGCAGCGAGGTAAGATGAAAGGGACTATAGTTTAGAGTGTCCACTTTATTTATTTGCACAGCTTGGATTCACCATGAAAACATTTCACTTTGTTTTTTTCCCACATCCAATGTAGAAACAGGTTCAAGAGGAATTTGTAGACACAAGGAGAATTGACAGCTCCTAGAATAGAAACCAATATGTTCCTTCTTAATAATCTCAGCCCCTGGCCTATTTGAAATGGCCTGCAATGAACTTTCTTTAGCCTGATATGTGGTTTCTTTTTTTTTTCTTCCAAGCCTTGTATGGTTAATCATTGATTTAAGATTTGTAAGGCCGATGAGAATTTGTCACACAGGCCAGTCTGTTTATACCAGCTAGTCAATCACAGAAGAGATCCATCAAGTCAGTGGTCCAGAAGGCATCTAAATTGTTCTTAGTTTTTTTTTTTTTTTCACTGCATCTTAATGGACCACAGTGATTAAACAATTCAAGTTATGGTTCTTGCACTGGCTCCTTCTCTTTTTCCACTAAATCTATCCTACATCAGGCACAGTAACCCAGGAATAAAGAAGTCCAGTGCTTGCAAGATCTCATCCAAATTCCTAATGTTCAGATTATATAGTTCCTGCCATCTTCATTGGACTCTCGTTCCAACCTTCCTTTCAAGATAAAGTGATTATCTTGACAGCCCTCCAAGCATACTCCACGTGGCTCAGCACTGTCACTTAGCTCGGCGTCCCCTTGTCTGGAATGCCCCTCCCCACTTCACCTTTTGCAGACTGTTTCTTTGCTTACTAAAATTTTATCTTCCTTTAGACCAAGACCAAAGGTGAGCTCTTTCACAAACCTGCTAATTGGTCCAACAAGAATCATCTCTTTTTTTGAGTGAGATCCTGCTCCATGAGCACTTACAGTCAGCCTTCTCTTAATGTTTATTTATGTCTTACTCCTCATCTTAGACTCTAAGCTCTTGAGCAGGAACTAGAGCTTATCCTTCCTAGTGTACAGTGAAGCTTCTTGTATGGTGTTTCTTAAAGGGGTTCAATTAATTATATGAATGAACAATGGAAAAACAAGCAAGCCATTTATTAATCCGAAAACTTGTACATGAGATTCTGGTTTTATTTTGAAGAAACTCAGTTATTTCTGCTATGCCTCTTTAAATGAGGTATAGAGATTTATATACAGAAGTTCCAGGCTAGAATATTTTAAGTAAAGAAAGAGAAAAAAAAAACCTTTATCTTTGTATCAGCATTTTCTCCAAAGAAGACAGAGATCATTCAAGACATCAGGTTTATCACTACTTGGGGGATCTTGTTGAAGGAAAACGGCACTTTGAAGCAGTAAAGATGACACAGACATCTACTTATCTGCTGGGTTTGTCACCAACCACTCCACTAAGACAAATCATCATCCACATCAGCTGAATCACTGACATGATTCAAAAATAAAACAACTTTAGAAATTGAAAATGCATCTTTTTTTTAAACCACCGTGTGTACAGATTTTAAACACATGATTTAAGAATTCACTTTTTAAAATGCAATGGAACACTGGTAACTTAAACACCAGAAAACAATAATTATCTGTATTCTTTATCAACATGCACACAGTGAACCAAGAAGACATAGTCTTTGGGTACTATGATTTCCATATAGTCCTTTTTAAAAAAAACAAAATGCTTCATAAAGTCCTCTGCTGGACGTTGTAATTTGTGTCTGAAGATATACACTTTTTTCATCTTGCTTTTTAAGAGCAGAATAACCAAAGCATCTCATACAAACTTTTGCTACATCCTTCAAAGTGATGTACCGATTCCAATTTTTCTCCACTTTAAGGTATTGTCTTAAATGTCTAGATTTTTTTTTTTCATGTAGTACAGGTGATTGAATCCAGACCATCATGCATGCTAGGTAAGAGTCACTGAGGTACATCCCCTGTCCTTATTTACTTTATTATTATTATTTTATTTGGTGGTGCTGCAGATTAAACCCAGGGCCTTGTGCATGCAAGGCAAGCACTCTACCACTGAGCTGTATCCCCAGCGCCACCCCCATCTATTTTTACTTATTTATTTATTTATTTTTGGTACTGGAGATTGAATTCAGGGCCACTTAACCACTGAGTCACATCCCCAGCTCTATATTTTGTAATTTATTTAGAGATAGGGTTTCACTGAGCTGTTCAGAGCCTCACTGTTGCTGAGGCTGGCTTTGAACTCACGATCCTCCTGTCTCAGGCTCCTGAGCTCCTGAACTGCTGCACCATCATATCTAGCTATCATCTCTTTTTATTTTGAGACAGGGTCTCTGTAAGTAACAAAGTTGTTCAGGTTGGCTTTGAACTTGAGTTTCTTCTGCCTCAGCCTCCCCAGTGCTGGCATTATAGGCATCTCACTTAGATTTATCTTCTTAATGTTTATTACCTACCTAATTAACAATTAATGACTCAAACTAACCTTTAAAGCTTTATTTAAAATTGTCCCAACCTGTTTTCTAATCCTAATATACAACTTTTTTTTTTGAGTAAACATTTCCCTAACTTCACTCACTCAAACTCATTTATATATTATCTCAAACATATTCTCCCTATTTCCTCTTCTGTATACTCACTCTGACGCTCTCCCCAGGACCTACTCTTCCTTCTTTATAAAACTATAGAAATTGTGGGACACTCTAATTATTTCTCCATAAAGTCATAAATGAGTCTCACAGATGTTTGAACTTCATCATTCCTGGAAAATTGTATCTTATCCTTTGTATTTTCAGTTTCACCTTATCTAACTGTACACTTGGCTACCTCTTTCTAAAGCATAAGGAGCTTAACATGCCTTTGCTAAAAGAAGATGCTCAAAAAAAACTTTTGTTTGTTAGTATTTCTAATTATAAATTTTTTCCCCTGAAACCTATTTACCTGAAGTCTAGGATTTTATATTAAAATATGGCATGGTTTGCATATCATCCAGAAGACCAATAAGGAGACCCAGTGAAGGAAGGAGACTCAGCTCTATGGTGCTCTAGGTGTGGACATTCTTAGTCTTTCCAATATGCCTTTGAATTAATTTTTTGCTTGCTTCTTTCCCTACTGTTCCTTTTTAGTTATTGTCGATTTTAACTCATTCTTTTACTTTCTCTCCCCTCTGCCTAAGGCCTACAGTGATGTACTCTGGCGTTTTGCTTGTCTCCGTTCTAAGCACTTGAGGATTAACATACCTCTTCTGGAATATAGTGTGCATAATGACAATTGCTTTGGTAAGATATTGCTAATTGTCAAACAAATCTCCATGTTTGTGGAGAATAGCAAAATTTTAACAATTCAACCTGGTTTTCAGTGTTGATTTTTAAGACTCTCAAGTTGTCAGTCAACAAAGGTGGCATTATTCAGAAACACCCAGCTCAAGCTAATTTGCACAGGGTTGTGTGTGTCAAGATACTCACATCTATCAACTACATACATTAGAAGAAAATAAAAACACACCAAAAGCTCCCTTAAGAACCTTTTTCTCTAGCTCTATTCCAATTTCTGCCACTTGTATAGGCTTATCGTATAAAAAAAGTGAATAAAAACTTAGAAGGAAAGCAGAGGTGAATCTAAGCTGAACATTTTGCTATTTTTTATTTTGTGCTAGAAGGTTTTTCCAAAGCTATATTCTCTTAGCTTATACGCATATCCTCACAACTTCTTGCCACAAGACAATGTTTTTCCCAATAAATATCACTCTTGAAATATGGGATAAATTCAAAGTAATGACTATAGTGAAACTATAGATTATTTAAGGTGAATGGGTAGAAAACCACTTACCCCCAGTTGCCACAGTGATTTCACGTAGGAAATGGCCATAAAATGGAAAATCGAAGGACAGATTCACTCTCTGCAAGGAACAACACCAGAAAAAAAAAATCAATAATGTGCAGAATAGTAAAAGTAAAATGAAGAGCCTTTCACTTAAAAAAAAAAAAAACTGATGCTTCTACTTTCCCCCATTATTATTGTAGTTGACCTTTAAAAACTGAATCCTGGATGGTATTAAAGAATACTTTCCCTGGTAATTGTTTGAAGTATGTGAAAAGATTAAAGTTTTGCTGTTCTGTTGACCTACTCCTAACTCACAAAGACTATCTACATCACGCTATTCTCTGTACCATCACTATTGGTTTTAGTTGTCCATTGAAAGTTAAGTTCTATCACCCTGATCAGGGGTTCTTTGTAGTTTGTCTAATTCCTACAAAATAGTAGAGTATGTTATATGTCAGACTCATTGAAGGAAAATCAAAAGATTTTTATCTTACACTGTTACATATTCCATTTGTTTTCTGTATATCCCATAATGAAAGGTAGCTTCACAGTAGAAAATATCTTGCACCTACAGATATAGAACTGGAGACTTATTTTTATTTTTAAATAATGAGTTCTCCAGACTTAGCATATTATGTCTATTTTGCAAAAGCACAAAGTTGTATGATAAATAATCCTGGTTACTAGAGAGATACTTTTATTTGATATAAAGGAATATTGGAGCATCTTAGAAAGTTCATTCATAAATTATGCCCTTCTTTTTTTCTAAAAAGGGGCCTGAAAGTTTGGATCTTAATTGCTAAAAGAAAACACACACACACACACACACACACACACATACACACACACATTCATGCATGTGAGTTTTTAAAAATAACTTTCGTGAAAATTAAAAACCACAATACAACAAAACACAGATCCTAGCATTTGCTGTGTACTTGAAATGATAATGAAGTAGCTATATTATTGCTAGGGAAAAAAATAAGAAAAACACTGAATTACAACAACATGATCACCTGAAATAAAATAATCCAAAGAAAAACTAATTAGTTTATAGCCGAACCGCAACTACAAGCTACCTACAGGCTTTTATGTTAAAATTCCACAATTTCTACTTTATATCTCTCCCAATATACAAATTAAAAAAAAAAAAAAACAGAAAAATGTATCTGTTGGAAGTTAGCTGTTTTCCATTTTCTATTTTGCAAATGATTGCTTTTTTTTATATCCATCAGAGATTTCTAATGACTTGGCGTGAAATTAATCATTCAAAATTTACAGTGACTTTCAATTAGGTTTTCTTTCCTTTTCAATGAAAGCCACATTTTCATAAAAAGGTTTCTTTTGTGCTGACTAATGGGGACAACCAAACCCATTTTCACTGCAGTACCTGTAAAAAGTGGCCACTAATAACACAAAGATGAAAGCTGTAATAGCAAATTCATTCATCTCAAAGAAGTCAGAAATAATCTCATACAGGCACTTGCTGTCCATATGGTTTTCCATCATTCCAATTTGCTTCCATGCTCATCAGTAAACTGGTAAAATTTACACCCTCAAGCATTCTTATCTCACCACTGGAAATGGGTTGCTTTAAACATCTGTCATTAACAACCTCTATCAACTACCAAGGATGACCTAGAGAGATATGACCTGAGTTTTCTTAGCCATTGCAACTATTTAAATTTGTTTCAAATTAGATAAAGATACATAAATACTGACATAAATTAAAGACCTTTTCTTGAGAAACAAATAGATTCTCATTGAAAATTTACAAATACACCACCCTTGTATACAACAGGAATAACTGAAATGCTTCCCTGTTGAAATGAGCAGTTGATCTTAGTTACTGCCATGACCTGCTGCACTCTGATACAGAATAGCAACGGCAATTTAGGAAGACGCTATCTTCTACGAAGCTGTGAAATCCATGCATTTCTCTTCAGTCACTATGACACTTGTCCCCCTGTGTAGGTCCTATTGTGTAGTTTTTTTCTCATAGGTGTCTTGGTTCCAGTTCCCCTGAAGCACACTGTCTAGTGTATCACTCCCCCTCTTCATATCATTCAGTCTAGAGTGTCATTGTCACTGGTAATGATATCAACATAGTGAAAATCAGTTCTAAGACCCACCACTAACTGGCCCCTGCCACTTTGAAGCTTTCTCTTTTACGCTGCCTGCTCCAGCCAGGTGTAAAGGGCATCTCTTAGTTTCTTGCATCTGCCATTCTTAACCTTGAGCTCTTGTCTTTCCTCATGACATCTCTTCTTACTGGAATAGTCGCTCAACCTTGGTCAGTCATGGCTTCCATGCCTTAAAGCCTTGGTTTAGTTTGGGTTACCTCCCAAATCGACCCAGATAGAAGGATTTGGGGAAAATATTCTTTTTAGAATGTAATCCTAGAAGGCATTTGCTAAAGGATGTGGGAAACATGAGACAAAGAAAACAGTCAAATAAATAACAGAATGTGTTACCATTATAGCCCCTTGAGAATCAGGCCCTGTGGAGGCATTAAGAAACAGCAGAGAAAACAACTTGAGATTGGAAATTGCTAGTATGTGACAAACAGCCTCCCACAGTTTCAGGATGGGCAAAAGTATCAATAGGAGCAGCAAATGTGAGATCGCAGGGTTCTACCTTGACTTTTTAGCTCAAGACACATGTTCCAGATATCTCTCACCTAACATTCTCAACATACACGTACACACCTAAAGCACTGCATAAATCACTGCATAAAGCACTGCATAAAGCTCATATTACAACCACTTCAAAGGGAAAAATCACTCAGAATGACTGGTTAAGAATGGTCCCATATAGTTCAGTTGATAGAGTGCTTGCCTTACATGCAGAAGGCCCTGGGTTCAATCCCCAACACACACACACACACACCCAAAAAAAAAAAAAAAAGAATGGCCCCAGTGGGTAATTAGAATGTGCACCTAGGTATGGTGGATGACAAAAGCAATGCTTTTTCTTAATAACTGAGATAATAAAACAAAGTGATGGGTCACATGTAAAGGCAAAATTTGGAAAGTTTTTATCTCACCTAAAAACATACACATACCTACACATGACACAGTTAAGCACTAGAACTTCAGGAAGCACTTGGCAACTAAATGTTTACATATTCAACATAATTACCTCTGAATAATCAATCATTACTTTGTCTCAGTGTGGCATGGAAAACATATGTAAGGGGAATGTAAAGGGGTGTTTTATTTGCTTGTTCATTCATCCAGACAGCCATTGAACAACCATTTATTCATCACCTTGTAAACACCAGACACTGAGTCAGGCACTTTGTGGAGAACCGGAGTAAGTCCCACTGGGCCCCCTCAGTGATGGAAAAGAACATCATTCAAGGGTAAACAATACAACCATGCAGGGGAGAGTAAGAATGACAGAAGACAACGACCCAGAGCACAAGGCAATGGAATGGATTCTTTAAAAGAACCTGTCACAAGTGGAATGAAAGGGGTACACGAACATATATCAAGTAAAACTGAAAGAACTTCTTGATTATTGGACATAAAGGTTTGGATTGAGTGGGGGAAATCTAGAATGAAGCAGACTTCTGACTTCTAACTTGTTGAATATGAACCACAGTGCCATCAGCTGAGAAAGTAACTACAGAAAAACAGCTATTTGGTTAGTTTTGAGAAAATTTGCCGCATTACTTTTTTGTTATGTATCCTCTGATTATATACTAAAAATTAATTAAAAATGACCCCAAACTGTCTAGGAAACAAAAAACTCTTCTACAATTAAAGAGGTTAACAGAGTCTTGGGCATTGTCACCAAAAGCCATAGCAAATAAAAAGAGACATCACAGAGAAACTATGGTATAAATTACTGTACATATCATACTACCTTGAATCCCTTAGGAAATGTTTAATGTTAAGGGAATAGAAAGTTCAGGAAAGTGGTCATGTGAAGGCTCAATAAACCGATTTATAGTCTGAGTAAATTATAGAATAAAAGCTCAAAAGTGCAGTATGTGCAAGGCCCTCGTTCTATCCCCAGCAATGGTTAAAAAAAAAAAGTGTTTTTTAAAGCTCTGAAGTGATATCTTGAACATCATGAGAGACACAATAAAAGTGACTAAAATTGTTACCTAGTTTCTTATGCTTCAGAGAAAGGGGTTAACTAATGGAAAAATGGAGATGGTAATTTTGAGACAAGCAAAAGAAGTACTAGTTTTTCACATGGTGCAGGCTAAATTGATTTGACAATCTGGTAGAATATACAGAGTCCAGGTGGTTTGGTGTAAATTCATGGCAGCTATAGCCATATGTGATTGTGGCCTTTAAAACCAGATGGTGCTTCCATGAAAATGTCCCGTTGAACTTTCTGTTGGCCACAGGCTGTTGTGTTGGGGACCATATGACTAGATTTCTAAGAATGCCCACATCCTCTTACCTTTTTACACATTTTTGATGCCCATTGCTATTCAGTTTTAGATTAATTATTATAATCCCCCCTAATCTTTTTAATACAATAAAAATTATAATCCCAAACATACCCTCTTGTCATTTAACTTCTTTGCTTATTTCTCAGTAGTCTTATAAAGACAAATTAATTAACCAAAGCTTGCAAAACCTTGAAGATAGAAACCTCTTAGTAAGAGTTAAGAATCTAGAGTGGCCATATTTATGATCCTCAAATTTATTTCTATTTTTTGTTTTAAGATAAAATAAAAGCTCAGTATAATAATATTATGTAGAATAATAAAGCTATATATACTGGTTGGTCCAAGTCTCTTTATTTCATCTTTATAAGGCATGATACTGCTAAAAACAACTACTGGTCAGAAAATCTAAGATAACAAAGGTTTTCATAATTGCTGATTTCATGGGTTCATGGCAGCATAAGATCTATAGAATACAGGGGTTATGAATACACTCAAAAATGAATAAATGCATTAATCATTAATTTTTGCAGACTTATGTCAATAGTCTATTTATATTCATTTAAATAATATTTTGTTTTAGGGACACATGCTTGACTCTTGAAAGAGTCAAATAGGTGTGACATTATTAATATTTTTGGTAAAGGGAGATTTATGCTACTTTTTCA